CGTGCACTGCACCCCACTGCCTCCAAGGCGTCCAGGGACCCGACGCTCTGTGCTCACCACTTAGGCGAAAGGAGGCCAGGGGATAGACTTTGGCTTAAGGAGAAGGTCACGGTCTCCGGTCTCCATCCCCCCCGGAGTCAAGGACGTGCAGGATGGGCGGGAACGGCGTGGGCCATGAGAGAGAGGAGTGCGGCCATGAGAGAGGAGTGCAGAGAGTAGTAGTTGATCCACCTATAGGTTCAGTCAGGTTCAATAAGGGTTTTTATTGACCTCCTGCTGTGTGCCAGACAACAGTGTTAGGCACTGAAGGACACGGAGAAGGAACGGACATTTTGCCATTCGTATTTATGAAACGCACATGAATTATAATGGTATCATCAGTAGCATTTATTGAGTACCTATTGTGTGGGAGGCCCTCTTAGCACTTGAGAACTAATGGTAAATAAGACAAACTTATTCCTGGGCGCCTGGGTGGCTCAGTCCTTAACTGTCTACTCTTGGTTTAGCTCAGGTCATGGTCTCACAGTTTCTTGGGTTCCGGCCCCACTTTGGGCTCTGCTTTAACAGTGCAGAGCCTGCTTAGGATTCTCCCTCTCTCTGCTGCTCCCCACTCTCAATGCCATTTATCTCTCTCCAAATAAATAAATAAACTTTTAAAAATCTTTTTAAAATAAGATAAACTTATTCCTTGACCTTGAGGAATTCATAGAGTAATGGGAGAACAAAGTAATGATCACAAACAGCTTAACAGTAGTAACAGAAATAACAATAATTTGCAGCGCCTATCAGTTGCCATATCAGCCTCCTAATGGTTCTCTAGTCACATCTTCCTCTAACTCTTTTAAGGACCCTTGTGATTCCATCCGGCCCAGTTGGTTAATCCAGGATATTTTTAAATCAACTGATTAGCAATCTTAATCCCATGTACAACCTTAATTCCTCTTTGCCATGTAAGTAATATCGACAGGTTCTGGAAATTAGGAATTGAACATCTTTAGGGACTGTTATTCTGCCTACCGACATCATATATTGAGTACCTGCTGTGTACTCATCCCGGCCCTGTGCTAGGTGCTGGGATATGGCAGAAACCCAGGCCAGACCTCTACTTCCAAGAGCTGAATAATTATAAAAGCAGCAGCTAGCTTTTCCTGAGTACCCGCTCTGCCCCTGTGCTAAGAGCTGTGCTAAGCAGTTCCTTTGCTATTGGCCACACCTGACAAGAGTTAACTGAGAGGTTACGGGACTTGCCCAAGGCACACAGTACAAACGGGACTGGAATGCAGGTGTGTACGAGAAGCACAGAGTGTCCTGGGGCCAAGAAGAGACACAGAACCTAGGTTTAGGGACAGGGATCTTCCTCGGGAACCTGAGTTGGGCAGGATGGAGGTCAAGGACTTCGGGCCTGAGTTGCCCAGGAGAAGCCAGCAGATTTTTGGTTGTCACATTTACACAAACAAGTCATTTGCATACAATACTGAAGTGCTTTGTTCAGATTGCCTCACTCACTGGAATGCTCAAAACAGCCTGAGGGGGAGAGTGGATTACCTGGCCCTGGCCCATAGTAGGGACAAAATAACTATTTGAAGGACCATTCCACGCCCTCAGTGATTAAGAGATTTGCTAGAAGTCAGCTGGTATGGACTGGGCAATTCTGGTCTTCTAACTCCAAAGTTTGTACAAAGTCTGTACAATGGCCCCTCTAAGGGGCCCCTGAGAACTCTGTTCTCATTCTGGGTTTTGCCTTTGTCCACACCATCTAAGCACCAAATTCACTAGAGGCAGTGTTGGTAACCTTTGCCTTCCTCATACGCAAGGCTGCCGGTTCCCCATGCTTTCTCCACCCAAACTCATCCATCAAAACTTATCAGTAGGTGTCTCACTCCCCAAGGCACCTGCTGCTGCCCGGAAGACAGGAGCTAATGCGCTAAGGCCCCCTTTCTTATTTAATTGTTTTCATCAGGTCTTGACACAAATAACTAAACAATTCTGCTGGTAAACATCCAGTGCACTTCCCCCGGCGCTGAGACACCCCATTTTAGGAAAAATCTAGTGATTCTCTCCACCCAGTCAGAAGAAACTGAAGAGTTCTCCAGGGAGCAATTCACGGAGGATGAGGGGCCTCAGCAATCACGGCAGAGGTGGGTGGCCAGTGGCTTCAGAACCGAGGAGACGAAGCACACAAGGTCTTCAGATGACTTCTTATCCACATTTGGTAAAAGATAAGAGCTGAACAAGTCAGGTGGGCAATTTCTGCAGGTAGCATTTTATTTTTCTTTATATTTTAAATTTTTTAATGTTTTATTTATTTCTGAGAGAGAGAGACCGCATGAGCAGGGGAGGGTCAGAGAGAGAGGGAGACACAGAATCTGAAACAGGCTCCAGGCTCTGAGCTGGCAGGCAGCACAGAGCCCGACGCCGGGCTCGAACCCACAAACTGTGGGATCATGACCTGAGCCAAAGTCGGACGCTTAACCGACCAAGCCACCCAGGCGCCCCTGCAGGTAGCATTTTAGCCAATACATTTTACAGTTTTGCCCAACAAGGCCTTTATTTAACAAACACCCAATCCTTGTTTTCTAAATTCTGTCCTAGGTGTCTCTGATCTCCTGGTATAGAACTGCCCCGAGTGGAAGAGCGTAAAGAAGTGAGAAGCTCAGGCTTCGGGCATCACTTTTGGCTATTCTGGCTTGGTGATGTTGAACAAATGGCTTCTGCAAGCTCCAGGCTTCTGATCTAGGTAGTGGAGATAACACACCTCTTCCTATGGTTCTTAGGTAATGCAAGCAATACTTAGCATACTGCCTGGCACACAGTAAGCATTCTATAAATGTAGCTGGAAACCAGGCAAAACGAACAGACTTCACAACCAGTCCCTGAAAAACCCGGAATTAGCTGCATTTTCCCTAGCTGACTCTAGTCTGTCTCTGTACGAAGCCATGGCTCCCCTCCATGTCTGTTACTCACAGATGTTGACCCCAATCTGCTGTAGCCCCAAGAGATCCCGGTCAGAATAAACTGACTGCGAAAACACAAGCAGATCAGTAGCCCCTCCAGGCCAGCGCGGACCCAGCAGGACAGCAGCAGATGCGCAGACACCCATGAAGAAGAGGCCGGCTGAACTTGAGGATAAGCACCAGGTGGAAGCCTGAAGCTCTGTGAGCCTACTTCTCAACGTTGTACAAGTTGCCGGGTCAGTAGGATTGGAACAGTTTCTTGGTTCCAAGCAAGTGTGCGAAAGTTCACCCGATCACCTCCATGCTTTTGCCCAGATAGTTCCCTCCGCCTAGAATGCTCTCATCTCTCCTTCCAACGTGGGGAACCCATGCCTGTCCTTTAGTCATCACTCTTTTTTTTTTTAATGTTTATTTTTGAGGGGGAGGGGCAGAGGGCGAGGGGCACAGAGGATCCAACGCTGACAGCAGAGAGTGTGATGCGGGGCTCAAACTCAGGAACCGTGAGATCATGACCAGAGCCAAAGTCAATGCTTAACCAACTGAGCCACCTGGGCGCCCCTGGTCTCTTACAGCCCTTGCAGTCACACCACTTATTTTATGCTAAGGTTTAGTTGCTGTTTAATGTGCCACTTGCTGGAAGGCAACTGTCACATCTGTCTCCTGGCAGGGGGTAGCCTGGGGTTTAAGACCTCATTGAACCAGTACTATCCAATGAAATATACTGAGAGCCACATTATAATTTTTATTTTTTCCACAATATAATTTTTAATATTCTAGTAATGCTTAACAGTTATTAAATGTCACTTAAAAAAGAAACAGGTGAAATTACTTACAATAATATAGTTTAACCAATAATAAGATGACCAACTCAGGGCACCTGGGTGGCTCAGCTGGTTAAGCGTCAGACTTCAGCTCAGGTCATGATCTAACGGTTTTGTAGGTTTGAGCCCCGCATCAGGCTCTGTGCTGACAGCATGGAGCCTGTTTGGGATTCTCTCTCTCTCAATCTCTCTCTCTCTCTCTCTCTGCCCCTCCCCCATCTCTCTCAAAATAAATAAACTTAAAAAAATAATAAGATGACCAATTGTCCTGATTTGCCCAAGACTAAGGGGTTTCTTGGGCTGCAGGCCTTTCATTTCAGTCCTAAAACCAGGAATGTCTGCGGCAACCAGAACAAGTTGGTCACTTGACCCAATATATCTGAAAAGTTATAATTTTAACACACAATGAATATTTTTAAATATGTTACTGTTTTCGAAGTCTGACATGTGTTTTATACTTACAGCATGTCTTTTTTAAAAAAACTATTTGTTTAGGGGCACCTGGGTAACATAGTCGGCTAAGCATCTGACTTTGGCTCAGGTCATGATCTTGTGTTTCGTGAGTTCGAGCCCCATGTCAGGCTCTGTGCTGACAGCTTGGAGCCTGGAGTCTGCTTCAGATTCTGTGTGTCGCTTGCTCTTTGCCCCTCCCCCCACTCGCCCTCTTTCTCTCTCTCAAAAATAAACAGTTAAAAAAATTTTTTTAATTAAAAATAGTTGTTAATTTAAGTAATCTCTACACCCAACATGGGGCTCAAACTCATGACCCTGAGACGAAGAGTTGTAATCTCCTCCGATGGAGCCAGCCAGGCGCCTTGTTTACAGCATGTCTTAATTCAGCCATGCGCTGAATAGCTGCCAGCGCTCAATAGCTCCCTTTAGCTACTGGGAGTTATCACATTGGGTGATGCAGATATAGAGATATACTTGATACTGCCATAAACCAGTTACTAAGCTAGAGACACACAACTCTCACCAGGGTCCTGACCTTGGGCTCCCACCTCCATATGTGAAACCTGCCTCCACACTTCAGGATCCTCAGCTCTGTGAAAGGGGGCCCAGGTGAACCCGGATTCTGTGGTTTCTTGGCGTCCTGGGGTCTACTGCCACGGTAGCATACCAGGATATTCGTAACAGTAAAAATAGTAAAATAAATAATAATAGAAGCTTCCATTTCTTGAGTACAGCCATTATCTCATTTAATCATTATAACAACCCCAGGTGATGTTATTTTTTCCATTTTACAGGTAAGGAAATTGGGGCTAAGAGAAATAATCATAATGCCTAAGGTCACAGAGTGACAGACTGGATACTCAGGAATGGCTAAGGGCAATAGTCAAGATTAAGAGCAGGGCCCTGGGGTTGCCTGTAACCTACGTTAACCATATACCTCAGAGGGGGTTTCTGACAAATGAGAAGCCATGTGCAAAGCACTTAGCATGTCAGTATCTGTGAGAGAGCTACCGCCGTGATCGTGATATGACAATGTCTGATAATGTCATGATTATGATAGGAGTGGACATCAAAGAGCAAAGACTGAAAGTTTCCAAAGGGAACAGAGATGGAGAACCAGGACTTGCAAAATGAACTGAAGTCCTCGCAGTTACATCTTTGCCCCAGGGCGGGGGCCTTCTCTGGTTGTAATTTTACACCGAGGTCCACACCCTGCCAGAAAGAAAGAGAAGCAAATTGTGAGAATATTTGCTCTGCCTCCGCCCCTAGCCTGGGCGCTGCGGAGGTCCTGGGGCCCTGTGGGTGGGTGCTGGGGAAGCGGGTCTTCTCCCAAAGGGGTGCCAGAAGCAACGGCAGTCTGAACGACCAGCTGGCCCTGCCCGAAGTTAGCTGGGAGCGCTGGTAAGCAGGCGGCTCCGAGGAGGCACCCCGCGCTCCCACTCACCCGCTGACGAAGGTGGAGCTCAAAATGGAATGAGCGACGTTCGTGAATGCCACTCTTTCCTGGACTCACACAACGGGCTACGTTTTATCGACATTCCTTCCTTGAATCCTACCGGTGTAGTAAATGGCTACCTCCCCGAGTGCCTGAGCGATTCGCCTCCACCGCTTACCGTCTTTAATCTCTGCAAGAACTCTGTGAGCTCGTCGCTATTATGATCATCCTCATGTTACCGACAGGGAAACTGAGGCTGCAAATAACAAATTAAGTCACTTGGCTCAGGTCCCTTTGGCACTGGGTGTCAGAGTCTGGATTCAAACCCTAGTCTAACCCACTCCACAGGTCAGTTCTGAGTCTCTGAGCTCTCAGTCCCTCCGAGGCCACAGCCGTGACCGCCAGAAGCAGTTTGCCTCATGCTGGTAAAGGAATGAAGGCGGTGGCCACCATCCACTGGACATTTGTGCGTCGTTCATTCAGCCGGGGCGGGACGACAGGGCCTGCTGAGGGCCTTGCTCTCCTCGCTCTCGGCCTTCTCAGCCCAAGGTGGAACTCACTCAGAGCGTGTCCCACCCCACCCTCCCCAGTCTTGCTGGAATCACACACACACACACACACACACACACACACAGCCAGTTTGCAAATGACTGGGCTCTCTTCCCTCACCCAGTTTGGCTTTGGCTTCTTCGGAAGATTTATGTGCGGGACTGGTTTGTTTTTTTAAAAGTGCAGACAAATGCCACAGAGCGCTTTTCTGCTAAAGAAAAGCCTGTCCAGCCTCTGCTCACCTGGCAAACCTAGACTGCCTTCCAAGTGGAACAGAAGTGGCTTTGTGGCGGGCAGTACAGCGGACAAAGACGTTTCCATCCTTATCTTGTGCACTCCCCTCTCCCCCGGTGCTCTGCACGCCAGGGTTAGAATTATGACTCTCAGAGCACTCAAGGACAGGGACTGTTTATCTTTATCCCTAGGGTTTAAAAGAGTAGCGGGGCACCTGGGTGGCTCAGTCGGTTGAGCGTCAGACTTCAACTCAGGTCATGATCTCACGGTTCGTGGGTTCGAGCCCCGCATCGGGCTCTGTGCAGACAGCCAGCTCAGAGCCTGGAGCCTGTTTTCGGATTCTGTGTCTCCCTCTCTCTCTGACCCTCCCCTGCTCATGCTGTCTCTATCTCTCTCTCAAAAATAAATAAAAACATTTTTAAATTTTTTTAAAAATAAAAATAAAGAGTAGAGGTGTTTGTGACCACTCGCTGAATTGCCAGGGAGGAGGGACTCACTGGAAGCTCAGAAAGGTTAAGTGACCCACCCATGGTCACACAGTTAATATCAGAGCTAAGAGTTCAGCGTTAGGTCTTCAGACTCTGCTGTTAATTCCAGCACTGTTTATAACAGCCCAATGTCTCTCACTGGTTGGCCCTTCACATGCACAATATGCAGCCTTGTTTCTCAAAGTATGGCCCCGCCAGGGGCTTGGTCAGCATCTGGGAATGTCAGGCGCTACCCCAGACCCACTGACTCAGGAGTTGCAGTTTATTGTGATCCCTAAGATGATTCTTCTGCTCATTACGGTTGATAACTAGGTTGATAACTACCACATTACAGTACATCCATCAGAGGGATTACTTTTGTACTTTTTACAAAAAAGTATGATGGATCTACATAGGCTGATAGGAAAAGATCTCAAAATGTACTGTTTAGTGGGGAAAAAGAAAAGCAAGTTTCAGAGCAACATGAATTTGTACAATCCAATTTATGTACACACTTTCCTTTTTTTATAAATTTACTTTTTTTAAAGTTTATTTTGGGTGAGAGAGAGTGTGCATGAAAGCAGAGGAAGGGCAGAGAGAGGGGGGGGAGAGAGAAAGAGAGAGAGAGAGAGAGAGAGAGAGAGAGAGAATCCCAAGCACTAATAGCACAGAGCCTGACACGGGCCTCGAACCCACAAACTGTGAGATCGTGACCTGAGCTGAAACCAAGAGTCAGGGGCACCTGGGTGGCTCAGTCGGTTAAGCGTCTGACTTCAGGTCAGGTCATGGTCTCACGGTTTGTGGGTTCGAGCCCCGTGTCAGGCTCTGTGCTGACAGATAGCTCAAAGCCTGGAGCCTGTTTCTGATTCTGTACCTCCCTCTCTCTCTGACTCTCCTCTCTCTCTCTCTCTCTCTCTCTCTTTCTCCCTCAGAAATAAATAAAACATTAAAAAAAAAAAAGAATAAAAAAGAAACCAAGAGTCAGACGCTCAATCGACTGAGGTACCCAGGCGCCCCTACATACACATTTTTTTAAACCAAAAATAACACTAATATATGTTAAGATACGCCTTGGGCTCATTGGCCAGGCAGCCTAGCAGGGCGCCAGTCTAGCAGGGGAGCCCAAATAGCAATGGACCAGATCAAACACGGTACCAGTTAACTCGGGTTTCTACGTGGGACAGCCCTGTTGGAACCCATAGGAGAAACAGCACCCTCTGAGGGCAACTAGAACATTCTCTTTCCAGCAGTGGGGGCTGTGCCACTAAGCCAGAGTCCGGCTGGGTGACAGTTCTCTCAGGTCCTTTGTCATGTCAGCTCATCCTTGGTCAGAACTATGTGCTACCCCCAGACCTTGTGATCTGTGAGTGTGTCACCTGAGTCACATGCCCTTTAATACAGGCACCAAGGAGCAGACTGCTTGGACAACCGCAACTCCTGGATAATTCCGAATAAGTTAAAAGGTCAGGTTTCATTCTGCGCATGTAATAAATCCTTTCTTTTGAAAGAAAGGGGAATGATACATTTTATTGTAACAGAAAATCAGTTTCTCCACATCCTGCCTAACTAAATTTTGAATAACTGTTTTTAAAATATTAAGTTGATGGGATGTCAGATTATTAGCCTGTGCAGGATATTAACCTGGATAAGAAAACAAAGAACGCTAGAAGGACTTATAGGAAATAGTTAATCAGGCAATCACTAGGAGGTGGTATTATAAGAACTTTTACTTTCAGGGCACCTGGGCAGCTCAGTAGGCTAAGTATTCCACTCTTGATTTTGGCTCAGTTCATGATCTCGCATTTTGTGGGTTCAAACCCCGTGTCCGGCTCCATGCTGGCAGTGCCGGGCCTGCTTGGGATTATCTCTCTCTCCCTCTCTCTGCCCCTCCCCTACTCATGTTCTCTATCTCAAAATAAATAAATAAACAAAAATAAGAACTTTTACGTTCTTTTTTTTTTAAATGTTTATTTCTGAGAGAGAGAGAGGGACAGCGTGAGCAGCAGAGGGTCAGAGAGAGAGGGAGACACAGAATCTGAAGCAGGCCCCAGGCTCTGAGCTAGCTGTCAGCACAGAGCCCGACGTGGGGCTCGAACCCACGAACCCAAGATCATGACCTGAGCCGAAGTCGGACGCTTAACCAACTAAGCCACCCAGGCGCCCAAAGAACTTTTACTTTCAACCTTAAGGATTTTCTTTCTACCTTAAATGTGTCTCTAATGTTTTCAAACATACATTGTTGGTGGGAATATAAAATGGTACACCCACATTGGAAAGCAGTGTTTTTTAAAGTTAAACATGTGACTACCATATGATCCTGCCATTCCACTCCTAGGTAATCACCCAAGTGAAATGAAAGCATGTATCTATAAAAACACTTGTACTTGGATGTTTATACCAGCTTTATTTACCAAAAACTAGACACAGCCCAAAGGTCTATTAACAGGTGAATGGATGAAACAAGTGTCATGTATCTGTACAATGGACTAGTTAGTACTCAGCAATAAAAAGGAAGGACTAGGGAGCCTAGGTGGCTCAGTCGGTTAAATGTCCGACTTCAGCTCAGGTTGTGATCTCGCAGTCCGTGAGTTCAAGTCCCACGTCAGGCTCTGTGCTGACAGCTCAGAGCCTGGAGCCTTCTTTGGATTCTGTTTCTTCCTCTCTCTCTCTCTCTCTCTGCTCCTCCCCCACTCATGGTCTGTCTCTTCCCATCTCTCAAAAATGAATAAATGTTTAAAAAAATAATAATAAAAATGAAGGACCTATGAATATACATAGCTGCATAGCTGAATCTCAAAATAATTATGCTAAGTGAAAGGAGCCAGACAAAAAAGAATACATACTGTGTGATTATACTTGCAGAAAATTCTAGAAAGTGTAAACTAATATGTATATATATTTTAACTTGAGAGAGAAAGAAAACATTATGGAGGAAGGCAGGGGGAGAGAGAGAATCCTAAGCAGGCTCCATGCTCAGTGCAGAGCCCAAAAAAGGGCTTCATCCCGCAACCCTGGAATCATGACCTGAGCTAAAATCAAGACTCTGATGCTCAACTGACTGAGCCACCCAGGCACCCCTGCAAACTAATTATAATGACAGAGAGCAGATCAGCGTGTGCCTGGGCTGTAAGGGGTAGGTGAGGAGAGATGGAAGGGAGAGATTACAAAAGAAGATGAGGAAAGTTTTAGGAGTGATAGATACGTTCCCCATTTTGGCTGTGGTCATAGTTTCATTAATATATATGCGCATGTGTGTATGTGTGTGAAGGTGGGGTGGATGTGTAAACACATCACATTGTAAACTTCAAATATGTGCAGTTTACTGTTAAAAAAGAAAAAGAAAAGGGGCACCTGGGTGGCTCAGTCATTTGAGCGTCAGACTCTTGATTTCAGCTCGGGTCATGATCCCAGGGTCCTGGGATCCAGCCTTCATCAGGCATCAGGCTCTGTGCTGGGTGTGGAGCCTGCTTAGTGCTTAGGATTCTCTCTCTCTCTCTCTCTCTCTCTCTCTCCTCTGTCCCTCCTGCTCGCTTGATCTCTCTCACAAATTAAAAAAAGAGGAAAGAAAGAAAGGAAAGAAAACAAGTCTGTTTAACTTTTAAAGACAGAAAAAAGCAATAAGGATTCAAAGACACACCCACATAAAAATGTGTGCTCTTTCACTACATAACATGTTTGTCTTCTAAATCTAGTCTCCCCTACCCATCACTGCAGAGAATAACTTCAATAAATGTGCTCTTTTATTCAACTTGTTTAAGATTATCTGTTCTGTTTTCTCCCCTGTGTCCCCCACCTAGCTCAAACTAGGTGGGATCCTGCTGAAATGGAGTCAGATAAGATTTCCTCACCACCCTTGCACCATGATGGCCCGAGCTTCTCCCCATGGAGGTTGCAGGCTGTGAGGAATGTGATGACGTGTTTACTTTGGAGCAGACTTTGGCCCGTGAATACGCTCTCAGCTCAGACCAGAATCAGCTCCTGATAGGAGATAGGCCCTTCCAAAATATCTGGAGGTCAGTCTTCTCTCCAAAGGCCCTGGGGTAGATCTTTAATTGAGGGGAGGGGAGGGTTAGAGCTAACACAGAACATTTTTCCCTGGTTTCCCTAGAGCCTAAACTGGGAACGCTGCTGGCTACAGAAACTCATGATTGAGAAGTAAATGAGAACAATTAGAACGTGATTGGCAGAGCTCAGTGAGGTCTCAGAGGGTCCCTTGTTCTCCAAGTATGAGAGGTGTGCACCTTTGTTGGCCTAGAGAGTTGGCCAGTCAAATGATCCCAAGTTGGTTAGGACCAGAGGGAATCCACTGGGCTAGAGAGCTCTCCAAAATGCAAAACGTCTCTAGTAACAACAATGACAATCATAACAGAAACTGCCCCGTGTACTGAGCAAGGGTTTTATCTCTATTGCCACAACCCTCACATAACCTCTACAAGACAGGAACTAAGGCCCAGAGAGGTTAAGCAAGCAGCCCAAAGGCATCTGTTAAAGGATCTGACTCCAGAGCCCGACTCTGAACCACGGCACTGCACTGCCTCCCAGGAAGCTATGGGAAGTCCATGCATGGCAGATCCTGGACTCACACAGGTTCAGATCCCTGCTCAGCCACTGATGAGTTGTGTGGGAATAACAGCAATACCCACCTCACCCGGCTGTTGTGAGCTGCCTCCGAAACAATGACGGTAACGTGCGCCGTGCACACAGCAACGGGGCAAGAAGTAGTCGCTGTCATCATCATTAGTATCATCGTGGTCCAGAAAGATCTTCATCCAAAACTCCTAATTTGATCCTACTGAATCACAGTTACAGACAATCACATGGTTCACTCCTGCACTTCCTCAAATCTGGACTCAAGTCCCATATAAACTGAAACTCTCTCAACCCTCCCTTGGCAACCCCCCACCCTCCTTTTCTGCCTTATTTTTCTCCTTGGCACATATCACCTTCTAGTGGCTAGTGCGTCACCTATATATATACTATGTAACTTACTGATCTCATTTGTATTCTTTCCAAATAATTCATGAAGACACCACTCTCTACAACAGGCCTGGCACATAGCAGGTACTCAGTCAATATTTGATGTTGAATGAATGAATGAACCCGGAGTTCAGATTCTGCTTCTTTTTAGCCTTTTAACATTGATCAAGGTACTCAGCTTCCAGGAGCCTCATTTTCCTCAGTGGTTGAAGACAAGCACTATCATCTGAGCTCCTCAGGGCTCTGGCAGAGTCCACGGGAAGAACAAAGCTGTGCATGGGAAAGAATCAGCTCCAAACACTCCAGAAATGGTTACTGAGTGACTCTGCTCCATGTCAGACAGGATACCAGGCACCGGGGGATTGCAGACATGCATCCGAAAGCCGCTGCTCTCCAGGAACCTGTGACCTAGCGCAGCAGACAGACATTTCAACAAAGACTGACAACCCAATTAGGTATCGGCTCTGATCCATAGCAACCCGTTATCAACTAAGCACCTTACATTCACTGTCTCAGGTAACGTTCTGAGACACTACCAGCTCATTTTAGCGACAAGGAAACTGCAACAAGAAGTTACGAAACAACAGCTTGTTCCACACCTAGGTATATACCCAAGGGAAATGAAAATGTGCACGCAGAGACTTGCATGTAGATTTTATAGCAACATTATTCATTCAAGCCAAAAGCCAGGAACAATTCAAATGTCCACTAATAAGTGAATGGATAAACAAAATGTGGTACATCCAGACAATGGAATATAATTCAGCCATAAATAGGAATGAAATACTGATACCTGCTACAACTGGGATGAACCTCGAGAACATGCTAAGTGAAAGAAGCCAGACACAAAGCTTACATCCTGTGTGGTTTACATTCTATGATCCATAATAGGCAGATTAGAGGTTACCAGGGAAGGAATGGGGAGGGAAGTTATTACTTGATAGGCGTGGGGTATATGTGATGTGATAAAAATTTCTGAAACTAGAGCTGGTTTTTGCACAACACTCAACACATTAACTGTCACTGAACTGTGTGCTTTAAAATGGTCGGTTGTGGGGCACCTGGGTGGCTCAGTCTGTTAAGTGTCAGACTTTGGCTCAGGTCATGATCTCACGTTTCGTGGGCTCGAGCCCCGCGTCGGGCTCTGTGCTGACAGCTAGCTCAGAGCCTGGAGCCTGTCTTCAGATTCTGTGTCTTCCCCTTTCTCTGACCCTCCCCTGCTCATGCTGTCTCTCTCTCTCTCAGAAATAAATAAAAAACATTTAAAAAATAATAAAAATAAAATAAAATAAAATAAAATGGTCTGTTGTGTGTTGTGTGGATTTCACCTCCGTGCACAAAGAAACGAGGACCAGCATTGTAAGTTAGCAAAGGCTGACGTAGGACGGGAACCTGGCCAGGGCCTCAGAGCCTCTGCGACCTGAACTGCAAATCTTAACTTTAGCCTTGTATTTTTCAGTTTGGGAACTTCCATTTGACTCTTTTTTTCCATTTTCCAGTTTTCTACTGAAATTCTTGTTATCTAATTTCCTGAAGGTAGTCCTCACAGTTGTTAGAGTGGCACCTCAAGCCTGTGGATATATCTGGGTACCACTACCACGATGGGGGTGTATTCTGAGATTTGTGGCCACAGGCGTCGGGGCACCAAGGCCATGCCAGCCTTGCAGGCTCTCAGCTGCCACAGTCAGCATTCGCCCGCCGGGGGGAAAAGCAGGTCCCAATTTCAGGCGCCTGTTCCCAGGCCTTTTCCAGGTGCTCTGGGCAGGCGGGAGGGTTGACCTGATACCACTCACCTGCCAGGGTGAGAAGCAGGAAGCACCGGACCCCCACCCCTGCCCCCCTGCTGCTCTGCTGCCAATGGATACAGACTTCAAAACTGAAAAGGACAAAAGGGAGGAAGGGAAGGAAGGAAGGAAGGAAGGAAGGAAGGAAGGAAGGAAGGAAGGAAGGAAGGAAGGAAGGGGGGAGGGAGGGAGAAAAGTTAGGTGAAATTGCAGTTTTCAAAGTTGTGTCATTTATTTACTTATTCGGGAGAATCTTTCTATTTCATTCTAAGAAATACTAACCAATATAAAATCTGAAGGAAATGAACAATAAAAGTTTCCACTTTTGAGTACTTCTGAAGGGCTTACTGTGTTAAGCATTTTACTTGTATTAACTCATTTAGTTCTTATAAAAAGCCTAAAAGCATGTTTTACCATCTCTACCACCCTGGTTGAAGGAACCAAGGCCCAGAGAGGTAAAGGCATCGGCCCAAGGACACACAGCTTCTATCACATGGAGCAAAGACACAAACCCAGATGTGGCCAAACGTTCTTCTTTATGACCTAAGAGCAAAGAATGAGTAATTATAATGAATTAGAGTATCTAGACTTGAGAGAGCAAGAAAGCCTGAAAAAATGAGGTCACCTGATGGGAAAATGGCTAAGGAGGAGGAAGCAATGTCTGGGGGCAAGAAAAGAGTTCTGATTTTGTTCGGTGGGCCCCAGCTTTGAGGATAGGCAACTTAACCTCTCAGGCCTCAGTGTCTTCATCTATAAAATGGGACTGTTAAAGGCACTGACCCCCGCCTGGACTGTCCCAAGGACTCTAGTTCCTATTCCCCTCTCTAAGTGAGGTGGGAGGGCTTCCCTGCTGGGGGAGGTTTGGGTCAGGGAGCGGAAAACAGGGATTGAGCTTCTGGGTGGGGTGCACATCTGCCTTGAGTGGAGCCCCATCCTTCTTTGAAAGGAAACGTAGATGTGGTTGCCAGGGCCTGCAGGTGGGGAGAACAGAGAGAGCACTTTCCCAGGAGAGAGTGCTTTCCCCCAGCCCCTGCGGTCCTATAGGAAGTGGGGCCCTTATCACTAAATCACTGCGAAACTTAGAGAGTACCAGAGCCCTCAATGCTCATTCAGTCAGTCAATGTGTGTTCACCGATAAAGCACCTATCAGTCGGGACTCTCCTGGTGGCGAGTGATAGAAACTCAGCTAAAACCCCTGAAGCAAAAAGGAGAATTGAGTGGACCCTGTAACCAGACTGTCCAGCATGTCTGGATTCAGGGCCCTAGGTGACACCACCAAGATCCGCCCGCCTTTCCCTCTGTTGGCTTCCTTCTCAGGCAGCACCCCCCTCCCATGGTGATAAAGATGCCCCCACCCCCCAGCCACTCCAGGCTGACCTGCTTTCCCAGAGCTTCCAGCAAAAGTCCGGGCTGATGCTAGCTGGCTCTGGCAAGTCCTGTCCCAATCCCACTGTCCGAGGGATGTGGGTCCCCCCACTGGCCAACGCTGAACTGCCTGCCCACCCCGCAGGAGAGGGGGCTGTGCCCCACCCCGCAGGAGGGGGGGCTGTGTGCCCACCCAGCAGGAGAGGGGGGCTGTGCCCCACCCCGCAGGAGGGGGGGCTGTGCGCCCACCCCGCAGGAGGGGGGACTGTGCCCCACCCCGCAGGAGAGGGGACTGTGCCCCACCCCACAGGAGGGGGGGGCTGTGTGCCCACCCAGCAGGAGAGGGGGCTGTGCCCCACCCCGCAGGAGAGGGGGCTGTGCGCCCACCCCGCAGGAGGGGGGACTGTGCCCCACCCCGCAGGAGGGGGGGCTGTGCCCCACCCCGCAGGAGAGGGGGACTGTGCCCCACCCCGCAGGAGGGGGGGGCTGTGTGCCCACCCAGCAGGAGAGGGGGCTGTGCCCCACCCCGCAGGAGGGGGGGCTGTGTGCCCACCCAGCAGGAGGGGGGGGCTGTGCCCCACTCCGCAGGAGGGGGGCTGTGTGCCCACCCAGCAGGAGGGGGGGCTGTGTGCCCACCCAGCAGGAGGGGGGACTGTGCCCCACCCCGCAGGAGAGGGGGACTGTGCCCCACCCCGCAGGAGGGGGCTGCCAGCTACTGAGCTGTTGACAGGAACAAGCGTAAGCGCCAGGTTTACTGAGCCCTTACTCCCTATAGGACACTGTTCCAAGCGCTGCACATGTATTTAAACCTCACGGAACCCTGTGAGGTAAGTACGTTGTGTTATCCCCTTTAGTCTGGGGAGGACACCGAGGCACAGAGAGCTCAAGTGCCTTGCCCCAATCACAGAGCTGGGAGACAGCGAGGCGGGGCCTCACACGCACACGCTCTGGAGCCTGGACCTCACACGGATCCTCACACGGATTTCTCCCCCCACTCCTGTCCTCTGTCCAGACTGAATCACTTTAGACCCTCAAATGGCTGAGCTTCGGCGCGTCTCCTGGCCTTTGCACGCGCTGCTCCCTCTGTCCCTCGTCTCGTCTCCCCTCCCCTCCCCTCCCCTCCCCTCCCCTCCCTCCCGGGAACTCCTACCCGCCCTCCCGCCTCTGCTGAGGCAGCTCTTGCTCCAGCCTCAGACTGCCCAGCGCCCTTCGACGCCTGGCATCCCAGCGCTAGGTCGTACCCGCCTGCTGCTTGATGACATGCCCCGCCAGGTGACAGTCCCGCGAGGCGGCTTCGGCACTGCTATTGCCAGGAACGCGCCACCCCTGCCCAGCCTCCAAAGTGGCGGCTTAAAACAACACAAAGGTGTCCTCTGTGGGTTGTGGAGGCCCAGAAATCAGAAATCAGTCTTGCTGGACTAAAGCTAAGCCGTTGGCGGACCTGCCCCTCCTGGAGGCCCCAGGGAAGAATCTGCTTCCTTGCTTCTTCCAGCTTCTGGAGACCATCTACGTCCCTTTGCTCGCCGCCCAGTCTTCCATCTTCAAAGCCAGCCGTGTGGCACCTTCAAATCTTTCTGTCCCTCTGCTTCGTCGCCAGGCCATCTTCTATCGGAAAGAGACAGGAAGACACTCTCTTATGAGTGCAATCCAGGATAA